TCTCCACATGTAGCACCTTCAAGCTGACAAGATTTCCAATTAGATCAGGAAGTGAGGAGAAATGGTTTGAACTCAAGTCAAGCTCTCCGAGACGCACTAATTTACCGAATGTGGATGGTAATGACGTCAACTGATTCGCTCTCAAGTCTAAATGTGACAAACCAAATAGATGACCAATTGAATCGGGGAGCTCTGCAATCCGATTAGAGTGAAGGTCTAGCTTTGTTAAAGAGGTAAGGTTGCTAATGGTGGCCGGCAATGCAACTATCCTGTTTTCTGACAGATCCAGTGATATTAGACCCGAAAGCTTTCCAATTGAATCGGGTAACCAATCAATTTGATCCATGAGCTTGTTCTGAAGGTTGAGATCTCGAGTGCCTTTCTTTGAAGAGACTTCAATTAAGGCAGCTAACCTTATAAGGCTTAGTTTCTCACCATCTTCTCCTGCAGCAGAAGCTTCATAAAAAGGGAAGAGCAAACAGTTAGCTCATGCTGTGAAGAATTAGATAGCCAAACAATTGAGCAATGATTTGTGAAATAATTCGACTCAATCAAGGACCATCTATGAATAACAAGGCTCTAACAATATGTGCACACATTATGTTCCACTTAACTTTAGCAAGGCAACTGAATTTCAATGCTCAAGCAAAAAAATAAGCCAAACGAAAGAGACACTATTATCTCATAATTTTAGAACAAAGAGCACAAGCTTTAAAATTCAGTTTATCCACATGAAGCTCTGAAACAAGCAAACTCACCAGAAGCTATTGCAGGAATAACTGCAGAATTCATCAACAACCCTCTCGATGTATTCGTATGAGCACCATCTCCATCAATATACACCGTGGACTTTGCTTTCTTCACATAACTATCATCTCTACTAACTCTCTTGGTACTCTTCTCAGTCTCCTTCTCTGAGTAATAAACAGTAGCTGAAGAACCAAATCCGCTCCAAGAACTCGCAGGGATCGAAGGAGAGGACCCATTCGAGCTCGAAGGAACACAACTAGATGCACTCTGAATCAACTCGTCCAACACTGAATGAATGTTCTCAAGATCAAGCAGCTCAAGAGCTTCTCTCTTTTGCTCTTTACTCTGAAAGTAAACCAAATTCTTCTGCATCTCCCGGAGGACAAAGAAGAGCTGCTCAGGGATCTCAATACCTTTCCTCTGCTTTGAAATTGACTCCATTTTTGCTAGCTCCTCCTCCTCTATGCTTTTAACTACTGCCATGGCTGCTTCAACCTCAACAATACTTGGCCTTGGTGGGAGAGACCTATGGAGGTTCATGATCTCTTCAACAACTCCATTAACTGGTTGCAACAAAGGACCCATCTTTCTTCGAAGTTTGAGAAAACCAGATGGAAAAGGACTTATAAAGAGAAACCCACATAAAAAATGAGATGATATCAAAGAACAAGAATAAATTACCGTCTAAATTTCATTGCAAACAACAGGAAAAGAGAGCAAACAGGGTAACCAACAAAGCAAACAAAAAGAGACCTTATCCAACTTTTCCTGTGAAAGTAAAGATAAAAAAGGACCCATCAATTCAATGAATTCTTTCCATTTATCTGCTATAATTCTACAATTGAAAAAAGGACCACTTGACAGTATTTTGCAGTTGCTCGAGTAAGAACAAAAGTCCGAATGAGGGAAAAACAACACCCAGAGAGAAATAAAGTTAGTACTTTCTCAAAACTCACGCATGGGTTTCTCCATATCTCCTTCAATGAGGTCACATGACAGGAACCCACAGAGGAAAATTGAAATTTGTTTTTGTTTTTTGGGGGGTTGGGGGTAAGGAATATTGAAGTTAAGAGGAGGATTTCTTTCTTTCTTATTGTAGTATAATATACATATATACATTCTTTGGATCTCTCCTCCTCTCACACACAGACACACCCAATACCTGCATCTGTTTCTCTCTCTCTGGAAATGGGTAATCCAACTATTTTGTGTATTATTATCCTTCTCTGTAGTCTGTAGAGGGAGACCAACATTTACAACAAAAATAATCAACATATAGAGATAATGCAAAGAACTTTATATTTGAACATTATAAACCATCTATAAATTTGAAAAATAGTAAGCGGAATAATGATGTATCAAAAAAAGAAATATGCATACTGTGTCACATCAAACAACGTACCACATTGCTCTCTCACTTGATTTCTCTAGATATTGTTCGAAATCAAAGATTAGTAAACGAGACATCATGTACTTGGTTCTATGAAATTTTTCATGAATTTTTTGAATGCAAAACTAATAAATTAATAATGTATATTGAGTAATAGGCCATGTTAAATAATCAGGTCAATAATTTTTCATCTCTTATGTATGTACATGTGCATGTGTACATGTGTGTAAATATGAATACGAGCCAACAACTCATTTTGACAATGAACTACGAATAGGTAGACTGTTGCTTATCACATCAGGTGAACTAGACATCATTTTCGCCAATGTTTATAGTTTATTTTGCTAAATAACACTACAATTTACATAAATATTCCCATATAACAAGCAAATTCAAGACACCAACTGGCAAGGGAGAGGGAAGGGAGCAGGACACCAGGACAGTTGGAAGGTGGGGCCCACTGCTGTCATGGATTCACTCAGCATCTCATGGTGGCTCTTTGACAATAGGCCGTAACAGTGTGCATCCTAGCCTCGTCATCTTATCCCCTGCTCTTTAGCAGCTACACCCCCCCCAACCCCCCCCCCCCACCCCCCCACCTCCACCATCATCAACTATTAGACAACTGGACATGCCGAGCTGGAGCATGCAATAAGGTGCCGCAGGTTTATTTCACAAAATCCCTCTCAACTTTGGAGGGTGTTGTAAATATCATCTACGCTTTATTTATCTTACATAACCCTCCAGACTGTGAGGTGTCTCAAAAACCCTCTAATTTTAGGTAATCTCACTTAATCTCCTACCTATAATTTGAAAAAAAAAATTAAAATATCTTTGAGAGAAAACTTTCTAAACTTTATCACCTATCATTTGTAGGCAATATACTCCATCCCCTAAAGTTTGAGTTTTTCTTTCTCAAGAAAATATTAGTTATTTGCAAATTACAAGCGGGGGGTTAGATGAGATAAACTAAAGTTAATGAGAGGTTTTATGAGACACACCATAGTTTAGCGGGTCATGTGAGATACACAAAGTTTAAAGAGCAACATACCCAATGTTTGGGGGAGTGCTGTGAAATTATCCCTCTTAAGTTATTGAGACTGCAATGTACATGTGTAATATCTTATATTATATTATGAATCTTCTCAACTGAAAAAAAAAGTTAGAATGTGAGGAGTAGACAGAATAAGAAGGGGATATATTTTATTTCCACCACTCATGTTAGTGATGATTACTCTTATCTGGTATGTGTTTAAATTAGTGTTAGCACTTAATGATGAGACAGGCTATTGGACTAAGCGAGTTTAGTTTAAGCTTAATTTTTGAATTTGTTATACGTTCCTCAAATGCTGAAGGCTCTTCAATTTAGGTCACAGAGGGAGCACATTGCAAAACTTGTGTTTGGCAAAACCCACCCTAACCAGGGTAATATCTTAACTAGGTTAGAATTGATCCGAATAAAAGGGGGTTCAATCTTACTAAGTCGAACAAGAAGAGGAATTTGAACTAAAAAAAAAAATTGGGCCACAATTTGCCCAATTGTTTTCCAAATGTCATTTCCGCTCCCATTGACCTGGTCAAGGAGAAGTCGACAAACACACCCGAGAGGATTTCGTGAGCAATTTCAAAGATTTGAGGAACTACTGTAAAATTGTTGAAGATTCAAAAGAATAATATTTTTTTTTAAACCCAAAACCATTTACGAGTACAGCTACAGTTTGCAAAAACAGCTGCAGTTACATATTTCGTGCTGCTCCGGTGACAGCTGCAAACTTCATTTTTTTAATGTTATTGATAAAATTACACAAAATAGCATGTGCACATACGCACATACATGTTACTGCTAGCGTATTATACCTTTTTGCACGCGTGGCACGCCACCATTAATTATGAATGCTCACGAATACAAAGACAAGCGCACACAGAGAAATAAATTCTTCATTGAACTCGCAATCTTACTGGTATAAGTTCAGCAACAAACTAAAAATATACAAAACCATACGTAACGAAACATTTTCAACAAATTCAATGTGAAATGAAATATTATTAGTCTCACTAATCACCTTTTTTGGCTTGGAAGATTTAACTTTCTAGAACATTTAACCATATTCTTCTATCACGAAACATTATTAGTCTCACTAAGCTCTCTTCAACAATCTGTACTCCATACAAAGTGATGGATTCAGCGAGTAAAATCTCCATCCTATGCCCATTCTTCTCCTTCTGCCTCCTCAAATGCTCTGCAATCCCAACAGACTTCTCAATTGTCGGTTACTCGGAAAAAATATCTTACTTCTCATGACAGTCTCTATTGTCGGTTACTCGGAAAAAATATCTTACTTCTCATGACAGCGTGACAGTCTGATCGATCTCTTTGGATCGTGGATGGACATGCAAAGGTCTATGATAGGTTTAAAGAGAAGCTTAGGAGGTTTGAGATATTTAAGGACAACCTGAAGCATATCGATGAAACGTACAGGAGAGAGACGAGTTATTGGCTCGGTCTTAATGAGTTTTCTGACATGAATCCTGAGGAGTTCAGGGGGGAGTTCTTCGGTCTGAAGCCAGTGTTCAGTAAGAGAAGGGAACAAGATGATTTCATGTATGAGAATGGTGGTAACTTGGCCCAAATCAGTGGATTGGAGGAAGAAGGAAGCAGTAACTTACGTGAAGAATCAAAGGACAATTTGGTAAGAAAAACTACCCTTCTGTACTAAATCTCTTCGAGCTGCATAATAAAAGCTGAAACTGTAACTGATACAAAGTAATATGCAAAAGTTCCAGTAATCTTACACAGGCCATTACAGCTTGGACTAAAAATTGATTGCATGCTATCTTGAAAGAAAAATAATTATTTTATAACATGAAATGTTCTAGTTTCTACATGTAAAATAAGTGTTAGCATAAATTTGGAGTGAGAAAATAAAATCTAATTCAACCATCTCTAGTCCCTAATATGCTCAAATCTAGTGAAAACTACAGCAACAGAAACAAAACAGAGGAAGTGCAAACACAAATTCAATGGTTTTAACAGAATCGGCAAGTTCTGACGTGGAAACCATGTGTTACTGCATACATGATCGTTGAAAATGAGATTATAAATTCAATGATGGCTAGCTCCTGATTTCGTGAAGTATAGTGAAAACTACAGATACAGAAACAAAAGAAGAACAAAATTATAACCACAAATTCAATGCTTTCTGGTCACCAATTTGTTTTTTCTTTAGCATGACTGTTTTATGTCGAGAATGAAGTTTGCTTTAGAATTAAAAGAATCTGGAGAAGCAAATATCGGACTAAATTACAAATTTAGAAGATTTATACAAGATCTTATATGGTTCAAATTCCAGTAGAAATTCATTAGGAACCTGGAAAAGTACACTAATATACTGGAGTTTGGTTCAAAACTACTATTTGTTAGAATCTACATTGGGGATGAACAAAATCACTTTGAAACCTTAAAAGAAGAACAACCACTTGTGTCTTGTTGCTAATGGACAGCGCTCAGTATAAAACTGTAACCTCCTAAACGTTACAACTGCTTTAGAACTTTGGTATAGCGCAAGAGGCATTAAGATGGTAAAAAGAGTCATCTAGATTTAAATTCCACTAGGTGCACATCAAACAAGTAAAAAAGCACCACAAAAAAGCTCATGTTCAGCCTATACAAAGGATACTCAACCTGTGGGCCTCGCTAGGAAACTTTTATAACCTGACAGACTTTAAGAATGTTAGTCTCAAGTTTTACAGTGGGAATAGGTTTTTCTATTTACTAACCACACAAAGGCTATACATGTTTGCAGGAAGTTGTTGGGCTTTCTCGACAGTAGCAGCTGTTGAAGGCATAAATCAGATTGTGACAGGGAACCTAACAGCTTTATCTGAGCAAGAACTGATATTGTGATGAGCCATACAACAATGGTTGTAATGGAGGTCTGACGGATTATGCCTTCAGGTTCATAGTCTCTAATGGTGGAACCCACAACTACCCTTGCCTCATGGAAGAAGGCACATGTGAAGAGAGGAAGGTAAGTCTTTCAAGAACAGAGCTCTAATTAATGAAAATATGTACTCTAATATATAAACTGATCTAAAACGTGGACCAACTTCTGTTTGTTTGATTTCAGAGAGACATGGAGGTTGTAACACTCAATGGCTATGAAGATGTGCCACAGACAGTGAAGTGAGCCCACTTAAAGCACTGGCCCATCAGCCTGTAAGTGTTGCAATAGAAGCTTCAGAGAGAAATTTTCAGTTCTACAGTGGGGTAAGAATTTCACATGAAATATTAAAACTCCACAATGTGACTTTTAGACTATTTGAGTTTATTTCTGAAAGTATGCTGATGATATTGCTTAAGGCTGAAATGCCAATAAAAAAAGAGTTTATTTCTGAAAGTAACATGATTGCAGGGGGGTTCTAATGGAACTTGCAGAACTGATCTGGATCACAGTGGCAGCCGTTGGATATGGAACATTCAAAGGCCAGGATTACGTTATTGTGAAGAACTCTGGGGGTCCAAGATAGGGAGAGAAAGGGTATACCAGGATGAAGAGGAATACTGGGAAATCCGAAGGGCTCTGCGAGATATACAAGATGGCTTCTTATCCTACTAAGAAGTGATAAAGTTGTTTACTGTAATTTCATTATATTTGGGACTTTTATTATTTGCTTCCCATGTTTTTTTCCCCCTGCTTTCTAATCCTCTATCATCAACGGGTTTCAGAATTGATGTAAACATATGATATATTTTTTCTTAATAAAAAGGTTAAGTTTGTGATATAGTTCCCAGTCAAAATTTCCTAAGAAACTCCGGAAAAGAACAACAAACAACTTCAGAATTAGAACATAAGTTTATTGAATTTTCCAATTGCATATACCACCTTTGTTCTCTTCGGCACAGAATCCCATCTGCATAACCTAGGATGGGAAGGAGAGGATAGGAGAGGAAGAATGGAGGGAGGCTCATCAAACTAATTATCGAATCACTAAACTGTCTGCAGATCTTTCATCAATGACCAAAATTTTCATTGATTTCCACTTTGTATCAATCAGTGTTCTAAATATCAGGTACAGGATCATGTGGGAAGGAACATTCCATTCGAATGGCAGGTATCGAAGATATTTAGTAAATACTAGTATAGTGCACATGCGTTGCACGTGGATACATTTGTTTTATGTTCTAATACTTTACATAATTCATTATTTAATTAATTTAATTAATGGAAGAGTTTCATTTTGAATATAATTATAACAACATTTGAGGACTTATTTGTAATTTTCTTACAATTTAGATCATATACTTCTTTCAATCTTCTTCAGATTTAAGTTTTGAACTATATAGGGTTTTTTTTAAATATAATTAAAATTTTCTTCAGATTTTTCTATAAATATATGAAATTTTAATGGTCTTTGTGAAAATTATGAAGATCCATGGTTGTTTGTGAAAAAATTCAGTGTTATTTTGTGAACAATGGCAAATCATGGAATACTTCAAAGATACATTTTTTTTAATCTTAAAAAACATAGTTCTATTTACTTTATAATTTAAGATAATGAATGGCATTTAATAACTACTGGTAGTTTTATGTGCAAATTTAGAATATAGTTTTAACATTAGGGAGGTTATAATATACTTATTATATAAAAAACTTTACCCAAAAGATAAAAATTCCAAGTTTATTCTTTACTTTTATGTTAAGTGTGTCATGTTATTCCTGTTTATATTAATTATCTTTATTTTTGCTAATCCATTATAACAAAATAAAATTCTCACTTTCACCTTCTCTCCCTTCTATTATCATATAATTAGTAACATGCTACAAAAAATATATCTACTAAGTTCATGGATAATACAATATTTCTCTCAAATCACAATTAAGTACATAGTAATAATTATAGAAATAGAAAAAACCCCCCCCCCCCCCAAATTAGACCTCAAACTTTAGCCTTAATCCGAATTCTCCACATTTTCTTGTATCAATCGTATCCTCAATCCACATATAGCCGTCAGTCTAACAATCACATCAGTATAAAGTATAATCCGAGTAAAATTCAGTACTTCATCAACACAACTTCAATCGTCTTCACACCCCCTTTGTCGTTATCTTTTCTGAAGGGATAATGTTTTCAATGGCGAGCTTGTATCATCCAAATAATATCATAGTAAAGTCATGTGATGAGTATAGGATGCTGTTAGAGTTGTAAGAGGTGAGTGTAAATCTAAATCATCAAATTAGTGAATTTATATAGGTTGCAAGTAAGGGCTATTACGATAAATAAAAAAAGCAAGCTCTTTGTATTCTGTAACAGTCAACTGTAATTGTCATTTAAATAAAAACTACAATTGAAAATGTAACTCTCATTTTAATGGACAATTAATAGGAGAGTTATGTCATTATTAAGAATGTATGCATGTATATGTATGTGTTTATATGCATGCAAATTTAAAGTTCAATACTTCATCAGCACAACTTCAATCGTCTTCACACCCCCTTTTGTCGTTATCTCTTCTGAAGGGGTTAATAAAAATAGATATTAGTGGACAATTAATAGGAGAGTTATGCCATTATTAAGAATGCATGCATGTATATGTATGTGTTTATATGTATGCAAGTATGTGTTTTATGGATGCATATATGTAGTTTGGAGGATATTTTTGGAAGAAACGTTTTAACATACCAACACACTTTTATAATAGTATTAGATTGGAGTGTATGTTAGATAGTATACGTAAATATCATAGAAGTCCTATATAAAGCCTAAACATACCAAAATATCAAATCATATAAAAATAAGATATATTTAGGAGACAAAGAAACTAAAAGAGACATAGGTAGGATGATGGCATGTATCAAAGATAGTAAATATCAGAGTGTCATATTGGATATTGTATATAAATTCCATAGAAGTACTAAATAAAATCTGAACATGTAAAAAATCAAATGATATAAATAAGATATGTTTAGGAGACAAAGAAACATAATGAGATATAGCTAAGAGGAGCCAAGGGAAGAGGAGCCAAGGGAAAGGCAGAGAGAACAAGAAAGAGGAACTTATCGGTGGAAACATGCAGTAGAAAGTAATAGGGTGACAATTTCCAAGGTTGAAGAGAATCGACTAGAGAAAGATAAGGTGTGGGTCTTACTGGAGTCTGAAGCCTTAATTGTCATATTTTGATATTATATAAAGCGGGTTCAATTGCGCCCTGGCCCAAAACCCGGCCTCCAAAATAAATGTTGATCCAAAAGCCTACATGACATATTTTGACCTGTTTTTATGTTGACATGGCGCGTGTATCAGACAATTTTATTGTTGTTGTTTCTATTCGTTCTTTTTTTTTTAAGCCCCAAACATACTTATTATACCCCAACCTATGTCAGTGACTGGAGTAGTATTAAACATATATCAAGTGCACATTACTTGATTGTCAGTTCTGAGGTTTTACCCTGTTCACAAGGAGTTACTCTTAAATTTGGGATAGTATCAAATGGAACCAAAAGGGTTATAAATGTGAATGAGACTCGGCTTACAAGAACTTTCAATCACATCTGATTGCGTTAAAACATGTACAACATTGCAGTTGTTTACTCACGGTAGATAGAGGAATAAGAATGATGAGAGAAAAAAATGTGATGCTGCAGGTGGATGCCTGAATGGTAATTGACGAGAGGGTGGATATATGTATGCATTGACAGATGACATGCACTATGTATTGTCAAGAACCTACAATTATCTACAAGGAAACAGGAGAAGAAGACATCAATAAAATCAAATCAAATCAAATTTTACGATGCTAAAACCAACAACTTCATTATTACTTAAATTCAACTTTCCATCAGCCACTTGTTTCCATATTACTTAGCAACAACATATAGTAGAATACAAAAACTGCACAAATTTTAACAAAAATGTAACTTTATAAATTATTAAAGATAATTCCATCTGTTATAACAGGATTCAGTAAGCTCATCTACAATGTTTGAGTGAGCACATAAGTATCTACTCCCACCAAAAACAGAATAGGCATACCATTTATTATTTGTAAGAAGATCCCACCCATTCACTGCAGAGTATGCATACTACTTATGTCTGTGGGAAATGCTTACGAGAAGAACTGAAGAGAACTCCAATGGAGACTGTCTCAGTAATTCAACACCTCACTGTATTTGAATACACAGTCATAGAGCCTTCCTCCCAAGAATTGAGCAACCTCCGGGTGCTTCACCTGCCAAGAATTGGCAAAGAAAGGGAAAAAATAAGCTTCCAAACCCTCATAATTCTGCACTTTAGTTAATATAAATAAATAAAGGCAGATCTAAGAAAACAAATACCATTCCAATCTTGAGTGAATCACATTTTAGTTGAGCATATAAGTTTGTTTCTATTGCGCGTCCCTGCATAAATAGATAGAGGTTATCGTTCAAACATAGAAATAAGCAATTAAATACTTTGACATTTTGGCTCTTAAAATATAAATTTGTTCCCTTTATTTGTCTACTGGTAAAGTTTAATAGTTTCTATCCACTCTTACCATTCCCTCCAACATAACTAAATCTGCATCGCCTGCAAGATAAGCCAACTCTGGTGATACATTTGTCAGGTCAATTACCTGAAAATACCAGGAGAGATCTAACTGTTTAATCAATCATACGTCTCGAAATGTAAAAACTACAAACAGCAGGCTGCTAACATTAAGTTAATGTTCCTCACCGGCAAATCATTGCCAGAATTAATAATGAGAAGGCCAGATGTATCAACACCAACAATCTGCTGATTTTCATCCTTTAGCTGAAAAGAGACATGACAACATCAGAATCAGTTGTTTTCAGCATGTAGAAACACAACATATGAAATAAAAGCATCACCTTCTTGACAATTTCAACCAGTTCAGTGTAAGTTACATCATTGATTGAAGGCAAGTCATTTGCTGCTAGAACCACCTGCATAAACGCAAAAATAAAATGCAGTGCTAATCTTGCCAGGCAACAGAAGCTGGACATGTCTAGGAAATATAGTGAAGTTCAAAAACTAATGATCATGAACAACAAAAGAGATATGATGAACTTGACTCAGTTGACTGTTGATACAAAAGAGCGAAGCTTGCATCTCAGACATTAAACTCCACAAATCAGGTTACTAATATGAGTGACTAGATTTGAGTTTTCATTTGTGAATCAAAGAATTGTGAAGTATAAAACATGAAAAAACATTTAATTTATGATACCATAATAGTGCCGTGAGCTTAACTCAATAATTTTATGCAAATTTTCAGAAAAAAATTATTCTGTTAATTGTCACAACAAATGCCTGCATATCATAGATAACAAGGTTTTCCCTTCATGGCAAAATGAAGATCTCATTCAATCTATGAGAATAAAGATATTAAATAAATGGTAAGTCAATTACTGAATTACTAACCTATAACAAGTGCATGTCAAAAAGGAGCACACAACAAGAAAATTGGCAGCACGACAGCAGAATACTAGTTGGCATAGTCATTAAAAGGAAATAGTGAAACTATTTGGTGATATAAGGTCTAACCTTTGTACCATGTCGAAGTAACTCTCTTGCAAATGGCAATATGCCCAATATCACATCAGCTCCAGAGTTATCAACAAAAATGACAGCCTGTTAAAGCAGAAAAGGGAAGGAAGCTGAGATACAATACAGGAACTACAATAACAACCACATGATATCCATGTAACATCCTAATGCAACTAATGAAGAATTTTGAAAAGCAAAAAAAGATTATGTGATGTGCCTTTCTATGTCAATCTTGAGAGGTGCATTATAAATCTTTCATGAGGAACCTTGCACATCTAACGGAGTGCTCATATTTATACGAAAGTGATACAAGATCAAGATAGACCTATTCACATATGCAATTGACTTTAGAAACCTTTTTAGTACTATTGAAATATTTTCTTTTGAAAAACGGTAAATAGATTTCTTCCAAGTATTTTTATGCGGGTCTTAGCAAAATAGGATTGGGTTATTTTGGAAAAGCTACATACAAATTTAACTAAAGTTCCTCTGTGCACCCACCACTGCTATGATAGTAAATAAGTGTACATATCGCTTTAAAAAAACAAGGAAAAGCCCTTCATACTTACAACAGGCATTGATTTAACGTTGAAAAAGATTCTACTACAAGCCTGAGCTAGATTCTTACATGCATCTTTAAGAAAAACACTATCAAGTTATTTGGTTTTTTTTTTGGAAGTGAGTCCAACAGTTTAATTTTTCCCACTAGGAGATGAAAAGTAACTCCGACATCTGCCTCTTAGAGTTGTGCAATTTTAAGTGATAAAAAAATAAGAGTGATTATATCGCTTTAAAAAAACAAGGAAAAGCCCTTCATACTTACAACAGGCATTGATTTAACGTTGAAAAAGATTCTACTACAAGCCTGAGCTAGATTCTTACATGCATCTTTAAGAAAAACACTATCAAGTTATTTGGTTTTTTTTTTGGAAGTGAGTCCAACAGTTTAATTTTTCCCACTAGGAGATGAAAAGTAACTCCGACATCTGCCTCTTAGAGTTGTGCAATTTTAAGTGATAAAAAAATAAGAGTGATTAGACCAGTGCTCTAAATATTAGTAAGTCGTGGTGCTCAGGGCCCAGGGGCTGGATTCAGCAGTCAGAAGCTTTGGATCGTGGTAAGTGCTTGGCCTAAAAGCACCAAGAAATCCCCTTTTTTAATTGTCAAAGAAAATGAACCTATTACTATATAAACCCTATATTCCACGCTAATCCAAAGAGTTGGTTTCACCCCCACTTACCCCCTCTAGTTACTGCTATCTCATGTCAGATGTCCCGCTTTCAGCACCAATTTTTGGCTTACCCTCTCTATCTCACTTGACCTCCTCTAGACTGTCGCAGTCCTCTCTCTCTCTTTTTTCTTCCTCTCAATATCTTCTGTGGTTCTCTTCTTACAGGTTCAACTCGCAATCTCATTTTTCATGGGTTATCTCACTGCTTCATGACTTCATCACATCATCATAGAGGATCTTATGACCTCCCTCAACCATCTACCACTATTTGGTGGCAAGTGGCAACTTCAGGCATTTCTTTAGAATTCATTTTCAATCAAGTTAAGTAATTATTAGAGTAGTATATTAGTGATTGTACATTCAAAATATGTATAAGTGATAGCAGTGCAGACTTTGGTTAAGTGATTTAGTTTTCTAAAATAAAATTTAACAGTACTAATATAATGGTAAAACAGATTTCAATTTACTAAAATTCATCATTAAATATTTTAAAAGATTTCATTTTTTTCGTAATTTAGATAAAATTTAGTAGTACTAATACAATGGTAAAACAGATTTCAATTTACTAAATTTCATCATTAAATATTTAAAAATATTTCATTTTTTCAGTTTTCACATTTTTTGAATATAAGAGTAAAATGTATAGTAGCAAATTATTGATCTAAAGTTTTAATTTGACTAGTATGGTAAAGGGAGATTAGACTTTGATTAATAACCTACTTGGACTAGGTTTCTAAGATCAAAAATTTGAATTAATGAACTAACTAGTTTAATTACTGATTTCATAAAACATAAACTGATCATAAACTGAAATTATTAAATTGTGATAATCCAACAGCTTAAGATCTTAACTTAGATTTTTTATAATTTTACCTTACATCCTTGATTTTGGTTTATATGACTAATAGGATTGTTATTATGCTTGAAATTTTTTTCTCATGTGATTTAGTTTGTTAATTGTTGTTGTTGAGTAATAATGATTTGGTGTTATATAAGTAATTAGTATGCAGTAATATTTTCTCATTTTTGAAAATTTTTCCATCAAAGAGGCTTGGAACTCAGAAGAATCAACAACTAATGGTCTTTAACTAAACATTTTTACCTTTTTTATACTGGTTTAAATTCTGTTTATGGGCCGGCCATGCTACTTCAGATGTTTATTTTGCGTTCTCTTGTTTTTATGGTCAATACCATTTGGAGAAGTTTGGAAGAGCTTTGATCATGCACTTAACAGTAGTGCTTACTTTTCATTCATAATTTTGACTTGTATATGTTAATATTGTACACTATGAATTCATTCAATCTCAATGTTATTACATTAAACATTTGCTCTGCTGAAATGTTGAACATAGACATCATGAACTATAAGATCCATTGACATCAGCAGATAAATATGCTTATTTGTCTAATTTTTCCTTTATCCTTATTTTTCTGTCTTTTTTAAGTTTATGTTACCATCTGCTCTTCTACAGTACACGTACTTCGTTATTTTTAGATTGACCAGGCATTTTTGCCACTTAAGCCCCATTGAAGTTATAAAAGCCTAAGCTTTGTCACCTCTTTGCTCCATTTTATTCGTTACACAACCTTGGATAAGTTCTATGAGACATCTGTCAACTCTCAGCATAACTTCCTTTCCTACTTCTGTGAGGTTTTGCAACCAAAAAAGTACAAGAATTTAATTTTGGGATTCAGCATTTTAGATTATGAGAAGTATAATAAAATGGTTTCATTTAAAAAATCCAACACATAATATTCAGTTAAAACAAATATGCTGAGATAAAAAGAAATCCTCCAAGTTTATTGCAGTCACTGATTCCATTGTAATCAATCACAAAAGCGGAAGTATGGCAAGACAGATTACCTTTTTCCATGACTTTTTAATCCATTTCGTCTTGAATGTGTCCAAATCATCAATTACCCAAGGTCGGGAGACAAGATTTTGACAAGTTGTCATAAAAGACATGCCAACCCTAGCAAAAACTTCTGCAAGCTACATTAACAGAAACAAGAAGAATATGTGACAAGCTATAAAGATTTAAAACATAAATTTTACTTTAAAAGGTTATACTACAAAGGAACTATTAGAAATAGTGTGCATTGTCTATCTGCAAGCTAAGAAATTTTGATTATGACACGAAAATTTTGATGGCCACACTTGATTTCAGAGATCTCACTACAAATAGTAATGTGAAGTGTCCTACTATGGGTAAAGCAAAAAATATATATGCAAGACAGGAAAATCATATATTACTAGAAGTTTTTACCTAACCTGCAGTTCTTTGATTCACAGGAATTATCAATGCTTTGGAAGATCTAAACATTGTTAGCCCCTTGATGGAAGTTCACACAGCTAAGATCCATGCCTTTTCCATGTTTAATGGCCATGCAGTAGGTTCACAAAGCCTCTCGTCACTGACATAACTTTGATTACAACATTACAGTGAAGCAGATAAGAAAGCAGAACCACAATATATTGAAAAGTAGCAACCCTCAGGATATTACAAGTTCAAGATGCTAGATGTTTTTTTAAGGGTTATATACCTGTACGATTAGAAGAGATGAGATATTTATCTCAAAGGCACTGCCTTTTCTTATATCAAGCAGACCAGGACGATCTTGTTTTCAGTTGATTTCTAGATTCTATTCCAAATCTCATGAAATTTATTGCTGTTGGCATGATTCTTTCCATGGTTCTTTAATCATTAAATGATTATCCTGTGTTGCTAAGTACTTCCAAAGTAAAAAGATTCTTCTGGCAACAGAAATTCTGGGGGGGCACCTAGACAGCAGAAACATGTCTACTATGAAGCTGTATCTATTTTCGAATATGAGTTCAACATGACGCCACTTCTAGGAAAAAATATTGGACACTTATTTCAGCCAAGCTGAATGTTAATTAGAAATACAATTTCAGATTGTTTGACATTCAACGCACTCCTATAATTCTTTGATAATGCAACGGACATACTGAAATATGATTTCCTTTTTTATACGTTAAAAAAATTATTTATGGAGGATGCAAGAGTAAAAGTTCATTTTGGCATATTAATATAACTGTTCTATGTTTCAATGAAGGAAGTTAAACACATTAAGCTCGTCTACAATAAGATGAGAAACAAAAGCCAAACCAATTGCCTAAATAAAGTAAAACTTTGAAATGATGTGATCTTAAAAACCCAATAGACTGTCAACTAATATGAAAACTAATCTTTATAACAAATGACATAACTATCTGACAACTAATACAAGATAATCAAAAGTATCAAAGAATTTTTCATGGAACCAACCATAGCCATGAAATGGTTCTCCCACTTAAGTATCTACGAATTTTTCATGGAACCAACCATAGCCATGAGATGGTTCTCCCTCTTCAGTAAATATACCAAATATTCAAAAGTGGCATTCAAAAGGATATTTATGAAATACAGCATATGTAACCTTAATAGTTTGTACCTGTGCAGATCCCAAATCAAATATATTGCCCGCCAAAATACCCTTAATCAAGTTCTCAACACGCTCGCCATCATCTTCAATAGCATCATTAAGTTGAACAACTCCCTCAAAGAGTGCAATAGCTTTAGCATTCTCCTCATCCTAATATAGATTGGAGCACATCAGTAAATTCATAATCTAAAAAACAAAAGCATTAAAAAGGGAACCTGGAGTTTTTTTCCCCTGAAAACATACCTTAACCTTTTTAAATATGTCTCTGAAACCTAGTTCTCTAAGGACCTGCTCACGAAGCCTGCAAAGAAGCTAAAATAAGCAGGCAATATTAGTTACAACTTGATACTGACTTTTTATACACAAAAACAAAATTCATAAATTTTGGGAGGAAAATCAACTTTTAGCTTCAAAGGGATATGAGAACTAACTTATAACAGTTTGCTTACAATGCCATCTGGGGGGCCACCATGACTCTCAGGATCCTTCTTTATGTCTTCAAGAATTGCTGTGTACCTATCAACACCACAAGACAACAAACTAGACAGACTTGAGATGCTTATAATGACATTTGCCTTGCTTCAATCTGATGTTATTGCACTATTATCACAAATAGAGAATAATACAAGATAATTGTAATGGATCAGAGAAATTAATTTAAGCAACATGTCTATGAATAATTGGCAGTTCATGATCAGCTGCATAAGAAGATGACTGACAAACCATTTACCAAAGTAAGCATACTCTTAAAGAAACAAATGAATTATCAATTTAGCTGATGTCAACTTAAGCATATTTAAGCCCAACCGCATCTTTTTTGGTCAAGGAAGGGAAAAATAAAAATAATATATTTGTACCGATGAGAGGGAAGGAGGGGGGAGAATAATATAATTGTACCGAAAGGGGGGCCATAAACGAAATTTCAGATAGCAGTGACATCCCTGGATGAAATAAGTCAATTAAATATTCTGCTAATATAAATCAACAAGTCCTCAACGTAATCCTAATTTAGTTATTAAAGAGACAAAGTAAGATAAAAGTGAAAACACAATCAAGCATGATTATATGGCTTATTTAAAAAAAGGCATTACTTTGAAATTGCACGAAGAGAAATATGGTAATCTATACAACTTGTATATCTCCAATATGTTTTTCCATAACATGTAAGCTCTTTAAACGAGAATATGTGAAGGATATAAATGAGCATGCATACCCTATCTTCCTTTTGCATGAGTCAGAAACATGTCAAATATGAAAAGTCTCCCCTCATGTTAAAAAATTACTTATGTCAAATTATTGAAGAATTTTCAAACTAATTGGTTTTCGAGTGGTAGCAACTACAAACTTCTGAGTATGTAAATGAAGATCTCAAGGGGTCTATCTTTAGTTGAATAATAAAAGCACCTCTGAGCAAATTTTTCAGCTTTTTCGGGGGCATCCACAACTGTACTGTCATTCTCAGCCCTTTGCCTGCACCAAAGCTAGTTCTGGTGAGTATTGCCTAACAAGGAAACAGTAAGACAAAAAAAAGTTATGCCAGAGCAAATTCATATGTACAGATACAAGTCAGGAAATATTTCAACGGAAGTCAAAGTCATGCCAGAACACATTCACATTTACAAACATTAAGTAATTTATCTACAAAAAAACTTATCAAGAAGTTTACTAAGCAAAATGAAACGCAAAGTGTCAGATGCATCATGCCACCCGTGTCCAGAAATCAAGCCTGACAATTTTAGGTGAATGAAGGATAATCTGCTATGAAGATGAGATGACCCAACGTTACAACTAAATGACCAATTGATGAATAAGGTGGATGAAAGAAAAGAAAGAAAGACTTCATAATAATCACATGGACCACAAGCATAAGATGGTACAATAATCACATGAAAACTTCCAAGATGCTTCACCCAGGAAAAATAAACATTCAACAAAAAAAACATTTACCTTTTAGCATAAATCAAAGTAGTTGACCAGTCAAAAAGAATAGCTTGCTCACAAGTAATACATTTTTGCATATTTGTGTAGAAAAAAAATTCTTTTATATATCGTTGCTTTCACGACACATGCAATCTGTTTCATTGTTGTCCGTGGACATTTCTCATCTATTGATATGAAAATTTATATTATAGGAGAAATTTTCAAAATAGCCTCATTCCCAAATTTAATCCCAAAAATCGACCCAATCTAAGAATATTTAGACATTGACCCCAATTTTTGGCCACGTCAGCATCGTGGCCAGAAATTGGGTCGTTTAAAAAAGAAGTGAACTTCTAATTAATCGGTGTTGCCAACCCTGACTAATTAGAAACTCTTCTAACTACGAGCGGGGTTAGCAAAAGTCGTCTTAGGGCCAAAGTAGTTGGGGGTTCCCAATCCCGACCAAAATTATCAGTGTTGGGAACCCCGACCAGTTGGACGAAGCAAATTTACCCATTAATTCTTTCCTCCTACTCTGTAATGCTCTAATTTTCCCATTTTCTGAGTTTCGAGAAAAAAAGGGGTTAAAAAATAGCGATTAGGGCAAGCGAGAATTCAAAAGATCCACAACGGGGAATCATCGTCAGTAGCAGCAGCAGCGCGAGGAACTCAAGGGAATTGAGTTGTGTTGCTGGCCTGAAGTGCTAACTGGGCTTAATCAGGGCCCTGAAAATGGAGTCTTGCTTCTCCTTTGACGGCGGCAGCAGTAGCGCCGTCGAAGGAAGCTCGATGCCGACATCGCCACTACTGTCGCCGGGGTCAAAGAAGTCGAGGAGGGGAGGCAGCGGAGGGAGGAGGAGACCAGGGTGGTTGTCGCTAGAGTGGGAGCACTAGCAGCTCATGCAGAAGATCCCTAGGAGGAGGTTTCTTAATGGGGCAAGCTCTGTTGCTTCTTTGTTTACTCAGTAGGGCTAGAGGAGAACAAACCAGGATGATATGATTGTTTGTGAGGTTTGACCTTTAGAAATCTCATCAATTTTTGCCTTGTCGAGTGGGTCGGGTGGGCATTTTATAAGTGGGGGGCCCACCATAAGTGGGTGGGCATTTATAAATTCGCTAAATTCGCCTCGGCGAGAAAGCCATGCTCTGCCAAATGGTCGGGGTTCCAAACCCCGACAATTTTGGTCGGGGTTTGTCGGGGTTTGGAACCCCGACTATTTTGGCCCTAACATGACTTTGCTAATCTCGTTCGTAATTAAAAGAGCTTCTAATTAGTTGGCAACTGTCAACCCCGACTAATTAGAAGTTAGCTTTTTTTAAATGACCTAGTTTCTGGTCGTGATGCTCACATAGTCAGAAACTGAGTCGGTTTCACTAAATAACTTTGAATTGGGTCGATTTTTTGAATTAAATTTGGCAATGGGGCTATTTTGAAAATTTCCCCTTATATTTACAAGGAGAAAATAGACGAATTAAACACCAAGGGAGCTTTTGTGGTGAAGAAAACTATATGATGTAGGAAAATGATGAATTCTATTGCACAAGGGAGGTTATATGGTTCTCAGCAACTTCTTAGGTCCAAAGTTCTATGAACATTTCATCCTGCCCCTGTATAATACTCTAAGTTGGGTCAATTTGTCATGAATCGTCTTTAACTGTGCCAAAATCGAGCCTTTTTTCTATTTCCGAACCTAAAATTCCCAACTTTCAAACATTTCCAACCAAAACTCATACAATGTCATCACATCAAGTCCAGTCCTTCACAAATTCATACAAACACGTAATTTTCAAAACCCTAAGTTGATAGCAAACAATAGCAGTTGCTCACCTGAACGAGGGCACGGATTTCAAGAAGAGATCGATCCACTGGATCTCGACGGGAGTGGGCTCGCTAGGGTTATCAGAGGGGAATCTGTAGGGAATCGTGCAGGCCCTGTAGTTGGACTCGATCGGGGTCCGGAGGAGAGGGAAAGGGACCAATGGAGATTCGCTCTCCATTTCTCAATTCAAGCTCTACTTCTTTTGCTAAAATTTGGTTAGGGTTTGGGGCCGAGGGCTTTGGATTTTTGATCGGATGTCCTCGAGCTATTCCAAGAAAAAAGGAATTTTTTTTTTTTACCCACAAGCCTCGTAGAAATTTTCAAAATAGCTCCATTCCTAAATTTAATTCTAAAAATCGATCCAATCCAAAGTTATTTAGTGAAATCGATGCAGTTTCTGATCACGTCAACATCGTGGACAGAAATTGGGTCATGTAAAAAATGCGAACTTTAAATTAGTCGGGGTTGGCAACCCGACTAATTAGAAACTCTTCTACTTACGGGCGGGATTAGCAAAGCCGTGTTAGGGCTTAAATAGTTGGGGTTCTGAACCCCGACCAAAATTGTCAAGGTTGAAAACCCTGACCATTTGGCAGAGCATGACTTTCTTGTCAAGACAAATTTAACGAATTTATAAATGCCCACCAACTAATGGTAGGGCCCGCCCACTTATAAATGCACACCCGACCCACTCGACAAGATGAAAATTGATGAGATTTTCGAAGGTCAAACCTCACAAACAATCATAACATCCTGATTTGTTTTCATGTTGCCCAACTGAGTAAACAAAGAAGCAACAGAGCTTGCCCCATTAAGAAACCTCCTCCCAGGGATCTTCTGCATGAGCTGTTGGTGTTCCTTCTCCATCGACGACCACCCCAGTCTCCTCCTCCCTCTACTACTTCCCCTCCTCGACTTCTTTGAACCCGGTGACAGCGGCGGCAATGTCACCATCGAGCTTCCTGCAATGTCACCATCGAGCTTCCTCCGACGACGACGACGCCACCGTCAAAGGATAAGCAGGACCCTATTTTCAGGGTCCTGAATAAGCCCAGTAAACACTCCAGACGAGCAACGCAACCCAATTCCCCAGAGCTCCTTCTCCCACTGTTGTTGTTGCTACTGACGATGATTCCCTGTTGTGGATCCGTCGGTGATGTCTTTTGAATTCTCGTTTCCCCTGGTCCCTATTTTTTAACCCCTTTTTCTCAAAATTCTTAGAAAACATGAAAATTAAAAGCATTATAGCATGTTCTGAGGGTTGGGCTGTTCACCCATTAAAAGTGGTATGTGAGCTGGGTTCTCAATACTTCTATCGTTCTATTCCCACAGGGGCAGAGAGTCCGTCGCTATCTCGGCTGTGCTGCCGGAGGCTCTGGGGAAGTCGGAATAAGAGAGCACTCATCTTAGTGTGGGCTTACTAATTTGTCCCTGACATGACTTTGCTAATCCTGCTCGTAGTTAGAAGAGCTTTTAATTAGTCAGGGTTGCTAACCCTGACTAATTAGAAGTTCATTTTTTTAAAACGACCTAGTTTCTGACCATGATGCTGTCATGGACAAAAACTAGGTCGATTTCTCTAAATAACCTTAGATTGGGTCGATTTTTGGGATTAAATTTGGGAATGAGACTATTTTGAAAATTTCTCCCACAAGCCTTTTATAGTTTCACCTAAATTGCACTAAAATGCCCCGGTTGTAAGTGTTGATACTTAAGTTTCTAAACAATACTTACAAAAATCCTGAAGTTTTAAAATGTTGCACGTTGATGATTTCTATTTATATGGAGCGTGATGTTCTGATACATTTCTATATCATCCAAAAGTTTCAACTAATTTACAAGTAAAACTCTCATATGCTATACTACCCCTTTCTAATCTAATTAAACTAGTATTTTAGCATGTGCTAAGCACGACCTTGTCTTCATGTTCTGATCTTACCTCCACGTTTCGATATGTTGCTTACGAAAAGGACTCTCTAAAACACATTTACCTTTTCCAATCACCATTTTATAGTATTCTATCCCGTTCGAGAACGGATATACCTCCCTCTTCGAGGCATAGACATACCTTTCTTTTTTTGATATCTCGCTTTTTTTATGGAATTGATATCTCACTTTTGAAAAGAATATCAAAAATACATTTATATTTGTCGCTTTTGAAAAGAATATCAGAAATACATTTATCTTTTTTAATACTTATGTTATATATTTATATGAAATCATCTTAATAGTAGTATGAAGACAAAGCTGAACATTTTGATAAATTTCTGATAGTTAATATTATGACAATATTGCATATATTAGTAATTCATGATTTGAAAGTAACTACAAATTTAGCACATAAGCACGGTCATTTTCTCAAGATTGGATATCAATATCGTGCTCGGATACTTACAAAGACAAGTATACATGACAAAATACCTATGAATGTTAAGCAACGTTATATATAAGTTACGAAAAAAATATCATAATCAACTCTTTAGCTAATTAGGATGTTATATGTGATATTAATTATTATAATTCTAATTACGAGTATAAATGATGGATTTTTATTATTTTATAATTTCTTTGAATTTTATTAATAGTTAAATCTTTGGTATAAATAAATAAACATACCCCAAACACAAACCCAACCCAACTACAACCTAAACCGAACCCAAATACAAACCCTTACCATAACCATAATAGTAACGTAAAATTTATTAAAAATGGAAAAACTAAGAACATTATAATTAAAATTGTTAGGTCTTATGTTTATGAGCCTACATCTCTAATCTTGTTTTGATAATTTACAAACAATCTCTAATATCTTTTGTCTAGTGTTTGCATTTGCCTAGTAGGTATTCTAGATAAACAACATAGTTGGAGGTTGGTTGGACTTGCACTTACACCATCATATCCATTGGAGGATGGAAGGAACATTGATTGAAGTCATCGCAATTCAAGTCAAGATTTATATTGCTTCATTCCCTCAAACCAAAATCGAGCTTAATGAAGATTTTCATCTTGAGTACATTAGTTTAGGTTTATATTATGTGTGTTAATACTTTAAAGCTCAAACTACACACATATATGTTTTGTTTTTATCGTAATATATGTTTTCGAGAAAATAACTTGTTTATGGATTAAAGACTTGATTATTAATGTTAAATATCTTTTATAAAGACCATTAATCCATTTAAAAGAAGTTTTAAAGTTGTTTGAACTCGATTTGTTAAAATTAAGTTTTTAATAAGTTCGTGTTCGTGCATGTTTTTGTAAAATAGATGAGTTTTCACAAATAAGAAATACAATCTGAGAAATTATTTTTCTAACATGTTCTATGACATGTTTATAACCATTTCCCAAAATTTTATCATTTTTGGAGTTGATTTACTATGTTAAATCGATTTTACAAAATCAAGTGTTTCAGCAGTTTTCAGAATCTAGAATATATGTTTTCAAATAATTATTTATCACAAATAGGAATGATATTTCATAAATTATTTCTCTAATATGTTTATCTACATGTTAGAAACTTTTTTCAAAATTTTATGATTTTTAGAGTTGATTTACCATTTTTAATTGATTTATTATTTTTAATTGATTTTACAAAGCGAGATACGCAAAATTCCAGAAACTACCGTTACTGTTCCTACGGCTAGTTATTAGTCGACTCACACTTGGTATAAGTCGACTTATCAGAGGTTTTTGGCCTATAATGGCTAGTTTTCTAGATTTTATTATTTTGTGATTTTTCTAGGGGTTTGGGCTATTGTTTTGGGTGTTTATAAATACCCCATACCCTCTAACTTCTGAAACAACCAAGAAAGTGTTTAATCAAGCTTATAAGGGTGTTTAAGTTTTCTTAAGAGTGTTTTAATTTTGTTTATGTGAAGGGGTTTTCACAAGAGGAAGAGGTGATCATTTTCATTGTGTTTGTGCTTCAATCTACATCTCTCTCTCTCTCTTGTTTTCAGAGAAGTTTTACTAAACTTAATTTCTAGCTTATATTCACATTTGTTATTGATTATCTTTTCATTAAGTTAGATTCTACATTAAGTTTAGTTTTGATTTTATTGATACTCATTATTTACACACACCCACTTGAGATTAAGTATTTTCATACATAGTATATTAGGGTTGTGAGAGTGTAACTTTGAGTGTGGGCTTAATTGAGTCCTCACATTGTTTAGAGAACAAACATTTTTTATTGTGCTTAATTGTGAGATCGCATTGTAATACACAAGGACATTGAGAGTAGTGTGTGGTGAGAGACGGTGTCGATTTCAAGAGGAGTGAGGTCGGTGGTAAAGCCTAGAGAGAGGTGGTAATTCCAAGCACTTGAGAAAGGAGACACGAGCTAGGCCAACACTAGAAGGTGTATTGTGTAGTTGCAAGTGTGAGTGATTGTGATAGCTTTTGGTGAGCTAGAAAACCGAAATTGTGAGGTGTAAACGTTTTCATTGAATGTGGAAAACCGGTTGAGATAGCGGAGTTCTCCTCGAGTGTGAGGAGCGGAGACGTAGGTCGGAAGGACCGAACTCCGTGATCATTTGCTTGTGTTTGCATTGCCTTTTGCTCACTATCTTGTTTATCTTATTTCATGTTTATTTCACTCTTGTGTTATTTACATATCCTTACACATATAAGTTGTTGAATATCATACTTGCTAGGATACAATTGTTAATAAGTTTTAAATTAGCATGAATATCAGATTAGATTAGCATATTACCCTATTCACCCCCTCTAGGGGTAATTTTAAAAATCGTTCATGGATTAGAAATATACTTACAATAAATCCCTTGAAATTGATTAAGAGCGTTGCAGAATCTTGAGTTTAGCCCGTGCTAAGCATGGTTTTACCTATTTGTTTTGAAGTCTGGATAAAAAAACTCACAAAAAACATAGTTATCTCTTCCAATATATATCATTTAGTTATCTCTTCCAATACATATCTTTTACTATTTTCAACCCTACAAAGATTAAAACACACAATTTACGTTTTGCTCTAGCGAGAGCTAGAATAAAAATAAGAGTATCAAACCAAAACAAAAGTAAATATCAAGAATTAAATTAATAAAAGAACAAAAATTAATATCATATTTACCTTTTCTTTTTTCATCTCTACTTAAATATCTTTAGTTTTTATTTTAGAAAAAGTATTGTTGATATATATCGGCTAAGATACATTTATGGCACTTGTTGTTATTATTATATTTTTATTATTTTCTTTGTCAATTTAGCGAATGAAAATGTCAATATGATATTCTAAGATAAAAATTCAATATTTTTGTTTAGCTCATAAAGTAAAAAGAGAAAAACAACAATTTT